TTAATGTTTAATTTTTTAAAGCATTGGTAAAGACAAAACAATAACTGATAAAGATCATGTGCTATCAATAACACATTGAGGTTGATAGTGCGAAAGGATAATGATATAATAAGCAAAGTTTAATAAGTGTATTTTAACTTAGATGTCCTTGGTAGCAAAACTATAGCTCATAATCACATTTGGCTCTTTTAGACACTTACTACAGCTTCCATATAATTATATAATTTTTCTTGTAAACTTTGTACATACTACTAACATACACGTAATATTTTTGTAAGTTTGTTGACTGTATATAGCTCCTATTATAACAAAGTTTGGCCATCTTTGTCATATTCTTTAGGATTTTTTTTAATTCTTACAGCATTAAACACATACAAATATCCTTGATTACAATAAACATGTTCTACTATATTATTGATGTCTCCTTCCTTGCTTAGATACTGATATGCATATATAAACAATATTTATCAATAAATTTAAGCCAAATGTAATATAAGCAATATTTTAATACTAGCCAACCACAGTAGTGTTTGGCTTTTATTCAAATAACAATATCGTTATATATACCATATTTTCTTTCTAATATTCTACATTATTTTATCTCTAGAGCTATAAAAATAATCATAAAATTTCTCTTCAAAACAATAGTTATTTTGGCAATATTTGAACTCTATTTCAACTCTTTTTGAACTCCATTATATCCTCGAGTAACTTTTGAAGATGGAGCGAGTCCAAATTATTTTTTCTTAAAAAATAAAAATATTTAGGTGAAATAATAAATATTACATAATAATTGGCTCAGAGATAAGTTTTGATTTTTAATAAAAAATAAAATTTACATATAATATCATATATTACATTTAATGTATAATTCTATGTACAAAAGTACATAGAACTGTATATACTTTTAATGTTAATTTCATTAACAATCTTCTGCATCAAAAGTTATACTAACAAAAATACTTTTTAGTGAACAGTTTGCTCATTAAGGCCCTAATACTTTATTTAAGGCCACAATACTTTCATTAAGGCCATAATACTTTTGAGCCAATCAAGTTCATCTTCAAGATTCACCTACTCTAATGGCAATTTTCACTTTCAAATAAATCTCCAAAGAATCCAATTCCAAATCTTAGTATCAAACCTTAATGAATGAACTGTTTGTCTCAGGTTAGTTCTCATAAAAGTAGTTTTTTAGTATTAATTTTTTAAATATCTTGATTTTTTAAATTAATTCCATAAAATTATGTAAGTTACACTGTCTGTACATACTTTCACATTCCAATATTTTAAACATTTAGATTATTATAAATTAAATTTTGTGTTGAATAAGCATAATAATTTTATTTACATCAACTTTAAAGTACTAAATTACATTTTATGCACATATCAAGTTTCTTAAACATATATCTGAAACTGTATACTCCCAGCAAATGTTTTAATTTATGCACAAGTACCAATGAAAAAATAGTTTTAATTTAAGCAATATCTTAGACTATATAATCCTTATTTTTAATACAATAGACCTAGATGACTAAAAACTGGATGAAATGGATGTTCAAGGCCATTTTGGATTTAACATTTTGAAAATAAATGATTTATAAGGTGTCAGTTTGAAGACTCTTTCTACACCTCAGTGAATTTAATTGTACATAACAACAACATTTTTTACGTTTTATTATACAGATAATATATACAATAGTTTTAAGAATAAAAGTGTAAATTATTGTAGTTAAATGATAAATGATAAGTTAGTAACAGAAACAAATCATTTTGTCACACACATTAAGTTATTATTTTATACTTTTTAAAGAAAGTCCTTTAAAGTTTTTTGTTTTATAGAAATTCTTCCTTTCTTTGTCACAATGTTCTGTAGCCCAGCATCATTTTTCATGGGTGGTCAGTAATGTTGTTTTAGCTACATCCCTTTTAGTTTTAATGAACTAAAATTATGCTAGTGGTCAGTCCTGGATACATAGGGCATTGTCCCTACCCACTCAGCTAATTCCACTGTGGGTGTGGCCAAACTCATAAGAGGAGTAGAAAAAAGACCACCTTAGGACCTATAGAAGTACAGTAGACATCTAAATCTTATTTCTGTTAAATCTCAAGATCTCAAATTTTAGTATATAAATTATAAATTTTGTTTGAATATGTCAACCTTAAAGAAACAAACAGTATTTTCAGGTTAGAGAAAAAAGAAAGTAAACACACTGTAATTTATTTAAATAATGTTAGTTATTAAACAAACATTTCTGATTGTCTTTAAAAAGTTAGATTGCCATCTATAATTTTAAGTTCTGTAATTCAGTTCATAAACAGATATCATCTATAGTATACTAAATATAAATCAAAATATTCCAAAATTTATTTGGTAATTGCTAACACAAGGTTAGTTGGATGGTAGAATGTAGAGTTAGTTCTTCAATAATTATCATTTTAGACCTGTCATTGTATTCAATTTTGCTTATGTAAGCTTCTTCATCTATCAGATACTATTGGCAATCTGCTAAAAACATAAACCATTCCAATACTGAAAAGAAATGGATATGTTCAGGAGTAATCCTAAATCTACTCCAAAGTTTTCCTTACATCCCTTCTACTTAGACTATATATAACTGCAAATTAGTTCTACTTTTGCAAATATTTTTCTTAACTATTCATTATGAAAAACTTATAATCCAAATACAATATATATATTTAATAATAATAAAACAAAGTTTTGCTCGTGAATATCATGCAGTATTAACTACATTCCTTAAGAACATCAGTGAATAGTCTCATATTGTCAAACACCTCAAATTATATAAGTTTTTTTATTTTCTTCTTACAAAGAAAATACTAATTTTAACATTTTTTAAGGATGCTGCTCCAATTCTTTCTTATTTTAAATTTTTAAAGAAAGAAAATTTCATAAAGTCATAACAAAGGCTCCTTCTTATACTGTACAACATATAACTTTAGCGAATTTATAATTTAATTGGCAATGCATTTAACTTAGTTTCCTTATGAAATTTATCAAAAAAAATTCTCTTATTAATTTCCTCTGAAATTCTTTGTCTAAAAAAGTCTTTGATTTTAAATTTGAAAAAGAAATATAATAACAATCAAATACAATTCAACTGATAAATGTGACTAGAAAGTCATACAATGAAGCAGGATAATATAAAATAATTCAAGTTCTTTTAAGTTTCAATAATAGATTTTAGCATTTAAAATAAGTAAAGAAATAAATAAATAAATATATATATATTTCTTATATAAATATT